CTTACATCGGTTAAACAGCTCCGAGCTCCGGGAAGAGACAAAGAAGAAGAAGAAGATCAGAGAAGATGGTGAACGGAGGAGGAAGAAGGAAGAATCCGAACGTCTGCAAGCTTCTCAAAACCTACTCAGTACCTATGCTCACCACAACCACCACCAAGAAGAAGAAATCATCAACAAGGAGAAAGAGAGAGTGAGAGTTTTGAGAGAAAAGAGTTGGGGAAAAGAAAATCCGTACGAGGGTCTCACAGTAAGGTTGTATGATGCTATAGTTGCCTAAGTTATTAGACATTTAGTGTAAATACATGTCTTTTCTATGATACATACAAATTATAGGAGAGTAAAAAAATATTTAAAAAATTAAAATTTATCATTGTATAGATATGAGTTGTGGTGTTTTAAGAGTTCAATTGAAAATCATTCGGTAAGTAAGTTGACTTTTAAATAAGTTGTTATTTTAAGTTGTCTCTTATAGGTTTCATGTGAAATTCATGTGTGGGCAAGGTCAAAATATATGTGTATAACGTGATCAACCGAATAAGGTACAAGGTTTGGGACTTCGTCCCTAACTAAGTATCAAAAGAGCATGTTATTTAGAGGGTAATCGATAGATTAAACTTATAGGAGACTTAGTGTTACAAGCTAATATTGTAGTAAACTCTTATCCAAATTATTATTACTTGATAATAGTATTAGACATCTTAGTTTAAGTAATGACAACCGATAAATCAATTAAGTTATTAAACAAATTCTTTGATAAACTTAAAGTTATCTTTACTATACCTGATTTGATAGGTCATATGATATGATTTGATAAGATTTTGTCATTTAAATTACTTATATCTATTATCACTTAATAATATTAATTTATTTTTTATTATATAATAGCTGAATTATAATAAATATAATAGCTTATCATGTCGTTAAAAAATTTAAAACCAAAGTAAAGAAAAAAGACAAAAAGGAAACATTGAATTGAATTTGAAGGTCCGGATTGCGTACGATAGATAATTAAAAATGGTGCAGTAGTGCAGTTGTGACTTGTGAGTGCATTTTGAAGGGAGCGAAGATAGACATACATTATATTTTTTTTTTCACTCTCTTTTTTAATTAAACATAACTTAAAATAATTTTATCTTTCTTAATAAAGTCATTCCATACACATAATTAAAAATTAATTTTGTATTAACACTTACTAATTCAATTATCTATTAACTATATCAGATCTCATTGCTTTATACATTTGATTCTAATTTTTTTTCTTTTCAAACTCTGTTCGTTTTCCATTCTGTATTACATATATATATATATATTTTTTGTTTATTTAATTTTTATTCCAAGTGAGTGAAAATGTTTTGTTTTGGAGGTAGCATAGCATAGCATCTCTTGTTGTGGGCCCAGATAGCTGAGTCAACTGACGAGGACCGTGACGCATTGTCAGTTCTAATTCAATCATCACAGCTCTCTTTTGTCGTTTTGTGATCACTCCCTCTGTAGCCTTTCAGACTCTTCTCTCTCTCTTCTCACCCAAATGCTTAATCATTATTTTGCCACGTAAACAGCATCATACCCAACCTACCCTTCTAGTTTTAATTTTAACACTTGTCAATTATATTATACAGTATCATTTTTTCTTCTTCTTAAATTAACTCACTTTTCATCAAATTTATATTAATTTTATTTAATAACAAAATATGCTGAAAAGTAATATTTATTACATGTTTATAAGAGATAAAAGTGGGAGGAAACAAAATAAAAGAAAAAAAATACCGTTAATTAGTTTTGATTAATTTTTTTAACCCGCTTTATTTATTTTAGATAAAATAAATTTTAATATCCATAATAATTTAAAAGTAGATATTTTTCAGTTTTTAATTTTTTTTACTTTTTATAGTTTAGGATATATATTTTTAGTTTATGTATTTGTAATTTTTTATTATTTTAATATCTGTTATTAATTTTTTCATAACATTTATTTTTTTGTGTGTTGAAAGTATTAATTCAATTTTCTATGTCAGATGACAAATTTATTTTATCAGAATTATTTTAAATTGTTTTTTAATGTCATGTTATTTTTATATTCACTTCTAATTATAATAGATATTCTTTTAAATTGTCACAATATTAAAGATATTTATCACGTTAATATAAAATAAATAATATTATAAAAAATAAAAAAATAAAAAGATTAAAAAAATAATGAATATAGTGATTAAAAAGATCTATTTATATAAACTAAAAAAGTAAAAAAGATAAATATAAAAATTAAAAAAATTAATTTTAAACAATTATAAAAACTAAAAAAATAAAATAAATAAAACTATTAAAATAACTTTTTTTATCTAAAACAAAATGAAAGAAAAAATAAAGAGAAAAATTAGCACTCAACCAAACATAACAATAAAATGTATCATTCACACAATATTTTTTTATTCATCATAATTATAATAATAATACTAAAATTCCAACTCAAAAATTGCAATTCTATCCTAAACCCTCACCACTCTCTAACACACTATTAATATTTGTTTCAAAATAATATATAATTTTTATAAATAAATTAAAAATAAAAATACATATACTATTTTTTAATCTAATTTGACTAAAATAATTCGTTTCTCTCATCAATAAAAACACCACTCTTAATTGAAAACTAACTAAAAATATTAGTCGTTTCAGAGAGTTTTTTCATACGCTAATTAGAGTTATTAAAGAATGAAAAAAATATTGATTAAAAATTATTAAAAATTATAAAATCACAAAAAAAATTTAGATAAGACATAAAATTCATTAAAGCTTGCTATTTTTATAAATTTTAAGTAATAAAAAATTATAAGAGTATGTTAAAAAGTATATTATTAATATTTTCTGTTTAACATTATATATGTATATCTGTTTTTTTGAAAAGAGTAGTTAAATTATTAGAGGACAGAAATTTATTTTTTTTGACAGCTTATACTACAGAATTTTCTTTCTACATGTTAAATATAATTACATATTTAAAACTGGAATTCACAACTATTATTAATTAAATTAAAACAACCCAATCAGATTAATTCATATTCTTAATACAATAACAGGCATATTCTAAAAAACACACGTATATTCTCAAACAGTAGAGTATGTTAATTAGTTAACGAAGCTTGCATTAATATTTACGTTTTACTTATGAAAAACTATTAATTACAGAAAATGAATTGAAACCACTCATTTAAAGTATCTTTGAAAGACACAGTTGGCATTCCTTTTTTCTTTTTTTTTTTAATATTAAAAAATACAGTTAAACAATTGGCATTCTTTTCTTAGCTAGCTCACCGTTTAATTCCTCTCCATAACATGATAACAGACAATTAAGGTATTAAATTTGAAATTCAACGAAATGTTACAATTTCAATATCAAGAATTTAAATAATTTAAAATGAGCACAGTTATATATTCTCAATCATAAAAGAAAAGAATCATGATCGATCAACCATTGATCTAATAGTGAAAGATTAGAGAAATATAAAACAAAAAAGTCTTATATTCAAATTTAATTATTTCTATTATAATTCCGATGATATATATATATATACATCATTAAAGAATCGTAGTAAGGACAAAGACATATAATTGGGAAAACCCCTTTCATACAAAAGAATGAGAAGCATAAAATACAACTATTTAGAAATCTCACTTTTTAAAATTCAACTTCCTTTTAACCTAATAGTTAGACATTTTAATCCCATTTACAAAACTCTTCCCTCACTTAATAAAATAAATAAATAAATTAATTATAAAAACCTTATAATATATCATATATATATATATATATATTAAAATGAAATAGAAGTTATACATACTTAGTTTTCAAGTCCTTAAAAATAAATATTATGCTGTCATTCTTCACTATGTTCGTGTATATGTATAGTAAAATTTTCAAGTCAATATTATACACGAACAACAACTTATTCTTTACAAATTATTTTAATACTACATTTTTTATTTCCATAAATAATTTCATGTATATTTTTCATAAAGAATTTAACTACTGAAAAAGTGTAACATAATTAATAAATATTAATTTCTTTAAACTTTTAATTAAAGATTCAATCTCAATATGTGTATACATATAATATTTGATAAAATAAATTAGTCTCCTAAATATACATTTCATTACCAGAGTATATAAAATATAAACTGACTTGACTAAAAAAAATAGAGCTCCACTCCACATTTATTATTATTTTTCTATAGACATTACTTAGATGGTAGTAGCATTATTCTTCAATATTAATGTATGTACCACTACCACAACAAATATTTTGGAAACAAAATTCATTGTGAATATTGAAGCAACACCCTACATTAAATTGCAAAGATATATAAAAGGAAGGCATCAACTATCTGTGTGTATATTTCTGTATAGAAATTTATGGGTGATTCAGACAGTGGAGTAAATTGGGCAAAGGAAATTTTTATAGTCCACAGAAAGTGCAAACAGTTGTCTTAAGTAAGCATTTAGTTAATTTAATTTAAGACCATAACCCTTCACCACATCCATGAATTATTTTGCTAATTGAGTCGTATTACCAAATGTGCAAAAAAAGAAGCACCGATTTACAATGAACCATTGAGCAAAAATGGGGAAAGTACAAACGGAAAACAATTCTGTGGGCAAATACAGCATGGTATAGTACATTTATTTAGAGAGAGAGTGTGTGTGGAGTATTTCAGAAGCTCACTGCTTCGCTGATTTTGAGGCATGCAAGAAGAGAGAGGAATCGTACTGCACAAGTTTCACACTTCCTCTCATTTTTTTACTGCATTTGGGACTCTTCTCCACACCATCATCTCTCTGGAGTTTCCATAGCACAGAGAGAAAAACGGGTGGGTTGATTAATGTTAATGCGTTTCCTTTTTTCTCCTTTCCCCTCAGATTCTTCTTCCAAATTCCTCTTTTTCACTCTCTGATTTTCATCACTGATTGTGCCCTTTATTTAGTTTCGGTGAGTGTGGGGCTTCACTTGTGGTGGGTATTGGTAATGGTAACTCCCTTTGTGACAGTAATCACTCACTCGTCTTTCAATGGGCTATTGCCATCAAAAAGTTTTTTTTTTTTTTTTTGGTTCACTTTTTGCATTTGGGGTTTATGGGGGTGAAGTGAAATAATGAATGGCTTCCATTTTTGGTTTCTTCATATGCATGTTTTATTTTCTGGATTTTTTTTATAGAGAATCTTGCAACTGGAGTGGGTTTTGGTTTTCACCAGTGTGACATTCACTCAAAGTTGTGATTTTTTCTTCTGGGGTCTTGGCATTGTTTTTGATTTCAAATTGGTTGGGTGTGTATGTTGTGCAGGTGTTCTGAGACAATGCTGAGGAAGAGGAACAGGTCAGTGCTGAAGGATCAACACCACATGAGTAATCTGACACAGTGTGAAGCCAATTCGGAGCATTATTCTCAATCTCATCATGCTTTGGGGCGCAACAACATCAAGGGTCACTCAATTTTCAATGTCCCTTGTCTGTTTGTGGGTCTAGGTCCCAAAGCGGTGTTGGATTCTGATTCAGTTCGGAGCCCCACTTCTCCACTTGATGCTAGAGTTCTTTCAAATCTCGGCAACTGTGTTAGGAAGCCAAGATCTTCACCCCATGAGGGGCACCAAAGGAGTTGGGATTGTTGCAAAGTAGGTCTAGGCATTGTGGGGTCTTTGGAAGACTGTTCTAGGTTTTCTGGGAAAATTCTCCAGTCACCAGAGAGCAAGAGAGTTAGTCTCAGCCCCCAAATGATGATCAAACCCCCAAATTGCCACATCCATAGGGATTCTCTTGAGGCATCCAAGTCTTTGCCGAAAGATTTTTGTAAGACTCCATATCCCCAAAATGGATCTGTTATCCACAAGGGTGAGTCTAACTCTACTGTTCTTTTTGAGATTGGGGAAAGTGGTCTAGAGCATGAGCCTTTTGGGAGAACCAGGTCTTGTTCATTGGACTCATGCAGTCCAGTGAAGGCACTCTCTGGTTTGGCCACTTCCTTCTCTGAATCAGACACTGATAATTTTGCCATGAAAGATGTGAACATTCAAGTCTGCTCTCCTCCTCATTTTATTGGAGGAGGCCATACCCTCTCACCTGCAAAGCTAAATTCAACGACTCTTTCCATTTGCTCTTCCAATGAATTCATCAAGTCACTATCAGCTAGTGAGATTGAACTCTCTGAGGACTACACATGTGTGATCTCCCATGGTCCCAATCCGAAAACAACTCACATTTTTGGGGATTGCATTTTGGAGACTCACTCTAATGCATTTAAGAACCATTTTAAGAATGAAGAGAAGGAGAAGGGAGTGAACTCTGTGGGTAACAGGTTATGGAGTCCAAACCCATATCCCTCTAGTGACTTCTTAAGTTTCTGCCACCACTGCAACAAGAAATTGGAAGAGGGGAAAGACATTTATATTTATGGGTGAGTTAACACTTAGCATTTGTAGCACTTCTACATGTCTTCTATCTGGACTCGGATCCTGTTCGGATAATTTTTTTTTGAAAGAACTTGTATAGGAAGAAAAATTGAAATAAGTTTTTTTATAATCTAAAATTAGCTTATTAATGAATTAGAAATATGATTTTGGAGAAAGTTTCTAAAAATTAAATAATGGAGATATTTATTTCAGTTTTTCATTCTATTTTTTTTTTCTTCTATAAGTGTTTTGGAAGTTCATTGAAAAGGGTTCTTTAATTTTTGTTAGCTGGATGCTGAATTTGGTTCTAAGATTTCTGGCTTGGTTTGATATGTTGCAGGGGTGAAAAAGCATTTTGCAGTTTGACTTGCCGTGCCATGGAGATCATGATTGATGAGGAACTAGAGAAATCCAATGCCAACCCTCCTTGTGAAAACTCTCCAAAGCCAAAACTTGGTGAGCTACTTTTTGAAACAGGCATACTCACTGCTACATAAAAGGCTTATCTGCCACATGAACTGGGTCCATGAGAATGGTACACGCACCTGATCATCTGTTCACAAGAAGCTGTTTTATGTGCATCTGTTAGCAGCCATGGATGATCGTTTTGTACATCATTGCGTTTGCCTTGAATTGGTGTTTCATCTGTGTCATGGTCTTTGGTGGATTGTGGCTCTCATTAAGCTAGTTTTGTTTTCTATATAAATGGAGATGTGTTATCATACCATTGATAGCCTGTGGAAAATTAAAGGGTTGAGGCCTATTTTTCTGGCTTCCCCTTATGAATTTTTCTTGCATTATCTCTATATTGTGTCAATGTATACAAACCCCAAAAAAAAGATTTTGACTTCTATCAATGTTATTATCCTAGTTTATACAACCTCTTGCCTTATCTTGTGAGTTTTGCACCGAAAATTGGAAAACTGAACTGTGTTTTGGTTCCTTCTGACCTTGAATAATCTTCACTTAGATGAATCTCGTGACTCCTATTTTGGTAAAAAGAGAGAAAAAGAAAATATACCGCGAAGGTCCAAACAAATACATTTTCTATACATTTCTTTCCAGTTTTCCCATTTTCTTCACCCCTCAAAAGTGTTGGTTCAGGGGAGGTTCCTAACGTTAAAAATTACATTTTGCTGACTGGATAGCCCATCTCTGGGAATGAAAATAATCCAAAAAGAAAAAAAAAATGCAGTTTCTATATTCTCAAATCCAGATAGAACATTGGTATATTACAAATAACGAAGTTTTCATTTTGAACTTGAGATTTGATGTTTCATAATTTTGTAATTAAGGTTTAGATGTAAAAGATGGTATATTATGTTAGGACAGAATGTTAGTATATTACAAATAACGTAGTTTACATTTTGAACTTGGGATTTGATGTACATAATCTTGTAATTAAGGTTTAGGATGTAAAAAAAGGGAAATTATGTTAGTTTTTGCTTTTACATCTCAAAGGCATGGTTGGAAGTGTAATGCATAAAACCTTTCAATTTCTAAGACAATGATTCTCACGAGTTAGAGGATTTGAAACTAACAGAATTTAATTTCTAGAAAATACAATTTCATGCATAAAAAATGATTCTTATAATCTTTTTAAAAAAATCCTTATCATGTTTTTATCAGTTAATAATAGATTTTCTTTCTACATTGGTAATGTATATTTTTATTTATTTATTCTACCCTCGAGCTTCGAGAAAAATGTTAAAAATATAAATTTCTCAGGACTGAGTAAATCGGGTCGTAGAGTAAAACTATTATCTGGAAAATTATCAAAATTGTTGGTAAATCAGCTCATTTTTATAATAAATAATTGAAATGTTATATTTATCACGTTTTATTGGTTAATAATAGAGTTCATTTTAATGTATATTTTATTTATTTATTTATTTATTTTAACCCGAGCTTCGAGAAAATGTAAAAAAAAAATATAAATTTATCGGGGTTGAAAGTAAATCGGGCGGAGCTAAGTACAGTTAGGCCCAAGTTCCTAACCCAAACTCAGGCTCATATTTCTAAGCTCATCATACTCTCACTAGCCATTCGAGTTTAATGAACTAAGATCGATTCTTCTTTTAATTTAATATTTTAAACACAAGTTATTTATAATATATTATAATTTATGTTTTTAACATATGGCATGTTTAATAATTCATAATCTAATTTATTTAATATCTCGATTACTATGTGATACCAACATAAAACAATATGCATGCTGTATCAAATAAAGAAGCAGCAATTTTTCAATTAGAATAAGGAAGGAGTAAAATGACTTCGATATAGACGCACACTGAAACGCGGCAGCAGTATAGCTTGCTTTTGGCAGGTTGAGCCCGAATGACTTGCCAAAGGTTACTTACTCATTTATCCACATGGCAATAGGCAGAATAAAATTTTAACTTAAATAGAAAGAACAAATATATGCAAATTTTTTTTTCTCTTTTAAACATTTCCATTCAATTATATACTTCTATTTTAACTGATTGAAGCGATCTAACTTTCACCTTACGACTGAAGCTACCAAAATTACAAAAGCCACTCTCACTTTAAATGGTATTTACTTGCACTTCAAAAAACCTTACCCATAACGTGATCACGAACACAATCCAGGTGGTTTATTTTTTTCCAGCCATATCTCGTCATTTTCTCAGTCTGTATATTTATTTTGTCTATAATCAATTTCATGAAATGTTTATAAAGAGAATCCAGATCCAGGAAGAGATGAAGGTTACGTTAGACCAATTTATAAGATAACATGACGATTGACGACGTTCATCAATGTCCTAATTCAATTCTTAAAATATACCAAGTTCGAGGAACACAGCTAATTTGAAGGTTGGCAATATCCCAAACAAGACATTACACGACGGAACACTAAAAGGGCAACAGTAATTAGCTTTCCCCAACCGTAAACTACCAACACGACAACACCTGAACCAACACTACCCCCGACACCAAATCAGTTTGAAAGATCCCCACATGCATTTTCCTCGTACTAAATGAAGGATGCACTTGGGTTGCCACTAGCTACACAGGAATGAAGTGAAATCAAAAGTAGTTCTATAAGTACCCATTGCCACTTGCTCAGCCTCTTGTTTGCCGTGTGTTGTAGGACTTGCAGTTCAAGCACTTCTGAGCAACAAGATGGAATTGAACGTGAGATGTTTTGCCACAATCATTGCAAAGGATCCAAACCTGTTAGAGACTATCACAGTTAGTTCATCATACTTGAGGTAACTTTTCTATATTATAGTATTTAAAGTTTGTTAAGATAAATTATTAGTTATTATATTAGTGAGAATTTAAACTAACACCTTCCTTATCACTCTAGTCTTATGTCTCTTTCTCAAATCATCAAATCAACTTTAAAATGTGTTTAGAGGTTGTTAAAATACCCATTTTTAATCTTAAAATTTATGCAAATTATTTCGATTTTTTACCAATAAACTAACTTGGTAGAGTTATTAAAAATACATATAATATATATATATATATATATATATATAAAGTTTACCTAAACAAACCCTTAATTCTTAACAATACTCTATACAAGTTAACTACTGATTTATTATACAACTTACAACTTTCACCCTACTGATTTGTTATTGCATGGTTAACATGACGGCCTACAGCATACAACATCATTACACAGAAAGAAACAAAAGGACACTAACCATTTTGTTTTGATATTGTTCAGGCATTGGTGTAGCAGCAATCTCCAAGTCAAATTTCTCCCAAACCTTTGACATATCACAAACCGACTTCGAGCAGAGAGGACACGCATACCTGAGGAATCATGGACAAAAATTAAATATACACTCCAATAGGACTTTGAGCAGATGGAAATGGACAAGTGAGGAGATAACAAGAGCTCCTTGATACTCACTGGAAGTGTTCCCTCATTTCCTTCAGGCAACTCTTATGTATTGTATGTCCACACAGCAAAACAGTGACATCATTCAGAGATTCAAACAAAAACTGTAATCATCAAATTTGGTGCATTTGCGTTAACTTTAGCAATTCTTCAAATTGGTAAGAGTCATTGTGCTGCAATAAGAACATAGTATACTGTTTACCTCAAAACAAATGGGGCAATCGTGATGCATTGCTCCTTCCACACAAGGGTGACTGTTTTTCAGCAGTGTTGAGTAGCAACAACCTGTGCAAAGAAATCATCGAAGCATGATCCAGTAGGTAAAAGCGCTTTAAAACTATAGCAATTAAGCATTTATCAAAAAACATAGGAAACGAAAACTATTATTTACCACATTTGTAGCAGTGGAAGAAATTTTCACATCCTCCAGTTCTGTATCAAAACATATCAGAATCAATCAGTCTGAATCCTTATATAGAATTCATCAATCAAACAAAGCAAAGTACGTTAAACTAAAGAGACAAGCTATATAAACAACAGGACCAAGAAAAACAGGGCCACTTCAACGTATAGAAGCAATAGACAATTTAACCAGATTACTTGACTAATTGACAGTTCATACCTGCAAATTCCACAGCCACTGCAATGATACTGCTGCTTAGATACCTGCCGCAGATAAAAATAATAATTCAGTTATAATCAAACACATTCTATGTTTACAGAACATGCTACGCGATGATAATCTGGATGGTTTAACAGTTCATATAATCAATCCAATATCCGTTGCCAAACTACTTGCTACAGTTCAAAAAATAGACACTGGCTTGAGCTCATCTCACAGATAGAGAGTAAAATAAAAATTTTAAACATAAAAAAGGGAAAAAAGAAAACATTTCCAGGACTAAGCACTTACATCATCGTCAAAGAGCTTACACGTCCCACAGTAGTACTTGCCCATACAAACACCACAGTTAATACAGTTTTGCTGAACCTGGAAGCAGCATATGACACAAGAAAAATTTACTTTCATTGAAGATTCTAAGTTATGCAATCTCAGCGTTCATAATGATCTAATGGATGGCTTCACAAATAATTCGACCAATGTATGAACAATTCAGTAAATTCAACTTCATGCGGTAATTGCCCAGTCAACAATCCATTGTTTTGTTCTTTACAGGTATATGAGTGATCGTGCATGCTCACATGCAAGGTCAGTTGTATATTAAGGTAATAAGAAAATCTAAACTCACCTCTTGTTCGGTACCACAAAGCGAACATATCACCTGGATATATCAGAGTAACTGATTAGCACTGCCTCAACAGTGAAATGCAGCAAAATATCGTGGATATATAGGTTGTTTTAAAATATATGATCATACCTGTTTAACTTGATGGCGTGGAATATCGTGTCTATGCTTCTGATCAATGTTGATATTATTCTACCCAAAAAAAAGAAAATAAAACGCCAAATTACAAGGAATACTAAACATAAAAATCAAACACAACGATGCCATTTCATTCTACATTCAAAATTCATTGCAAGTCTGCTTGCATATGGTTTATGGAGACCCATTAAAAAAGGATCACGCATTAAAACCTCAAAAAAACAGAAGGTTGAATCAACTGACTTTACACAACCTTTTCTCATAGGCAGGGCCACAAAACGACCCCAATAATGAAAGGCCGAGAAAAAAGAAATCAATTATAAGTCTATCCTTATAGTTCTATGCATATCATCTCCATTACAAGAAATCGAAAAAGAGAAGGATTTTCTAAGGGATGTCTTGAAATATGAAATATTAAATAAGATGGAAGTGGAACCATATCATTTATGTAAACAGGTCAACAGCCATAAAGTATTTGAAAAAAAAATACAATTCATACGGTGAAAAAAGATTGGGTATTTAACTCACTTTTGTCTCATTGTGACAATGGCGACAATCAAAAATCTCGTTGCAACAGGGAGCCCTAATACGGCATCTTCTTCGGTAATGTTGGCATCTGCAGGAGAAACCTATGGCTTTTACAAAAGAAAAGGGAATTCAAAAACTTAAATAGCAAAAATTAGTGTAGGAATGAGTGGATTTACCCATATTCCATGTATCCTCTCTCTTGCAACTCATTGATCTTTTTCTGATTTGTGGATTGACTTGATTCTTCTTCAAGGATGTGCTCTTCATTTGAAGGTAGATTATACACATCTTTCTCAGTCATATGCTTCATGTCATTGCAGTCAAACTGCAGAGGCTCAGAGTGCATTACTGCCACCTCTCCCATGATGCTAGCTATCTTCAGATAAGATTATAAGCTATCTAGAAGCAGGCAGTAGCCTGGTGACCTGCATGTAAGAAAATGTTTAGAAATAAGAAAGACTTCTAAAAGGCATATGTTGTCACCCCCATCAAGCCAGGTAAAACCGAATACACTGTTGCTTTCTTCTACACTGCTGAAGATCAATTGAAAGCAGCAACAAAATTGAATTAAGGTTGGCCAGCTCCAATCAGTAATACTGCAAGAGGGAACACACCAAAACAAGAGCATATACAATAATTCCACATAAACTACAATGTAGCAGTCGGGTGCTTGACAGCCTCTAGCAGTAAATAAAAACCAATTGAACGATCACTTGATTTCTTGAACTCCTGGAACCAAATCCCACTAAACTGGAGCCAACCAACAGACGCTCCAACCTATTTTGAAAGCAATATATCACTCGATCAAATGCGTTCTAAATAATGAAAATAGAGTACGTGTCTTGATTTTATTGTCCATGAAGGAGAAATCCTACCTTGAAAGTTCTGCATCGATTCCTCCAAGAACTGAAACTTACCAAAACCAAATACTTGGTTAATTATTCAATTGGTCCCTATAGCTGCACTAAATTTTAAATAAGCCTTTATAGGTTAAAAGTTTTTTAACTTTCAGGATACATCTGGAAGAGCAACTTAACTAAGCTTCATAACGTGTTTATTAATGGGAGCTTATACATAAACTAACTGTGAATTCGGGTAAAAAAACTTATTTTGATAAACTTGCTCACAAAACCTTTTAAAGAAAACTAAAAAAAGCTTATAAGGTCATAAGACCAAATAAGCCCTTTCAAACACTCCTAAAAAGTTTCTATATAGGCCCTATTGGCTATAACTCCATTCAAACTCCAACAGTGTTTGTTTGTAGTCTCTGCAGGTCATTCTGTGCCATTGTTAAGTTCTTAATTGTAAAGTTTTATATTTACTAAGGACTGCAGTGAAAACTCGGTTACACTATAAGCACCTACTTAAAAATTTTAAGAATATAAAAGTCTAGCTAAAATTTTATAAACTACAAAATCCTATTTGAAAATTCAGTGAAACCATAAAGATCAATAATTTAACCTATTAATATAAATTTCATATAATCTGCACTGTTATATATCCCATTTCGTTAAATTAGAATTTATTTCTCTTCTTTTAGTTAGTTCACTCGATAAAGTATGCATTCAAGTTCATGGCCACTTCCCCAAAAGGAACATTCACACTATTTCAAGGAAGGACTAATCCGCATATTCAAGATACAAGAAGAAGTCCTTATCCACATTCAAGATTCAAGAACAAGAAGTCGTTATCCATATTCAAGATTCAAGAACAAGAAGTCGTTAACCATATTCAAGATTCAATAACATTAAGTCCTTATCCATATTCAAAATAGGTTTGTCTGTTCAAGCAACTTGGCCAGGATGTAGATGAAAAGCAGGATGAAAGAAGAAAGAAATGAAGATTGGTATTTTGATGATTACAGACAGAACAACAAGTGAAGCATCAAGCAAACCCTTTCACTTTTCATAAGTGGCAAATAAACAGATGCATAATCGTCATGAATTATGCAAAAGTAAATTCCATAACATGCTTCAACCATACCAAATATGTTTTGCAGGCGCTAATAAAAGGTGTTAAAGACAAACTGATAAAAGGTATTGTAGACAAAATGTAAGGAGGATAAGGCAATAAAAGGTGTGCTTTTGGAGCCACTCTACCCTCCATAAATAAAGAGTATCCTTGTGGCGTTTGCATTGGGTGGTTTACTTTGTATACAAATAACATCATCCTGCAAAACATTGCTACTCTACTCACAGTTGCAAGCCACCCACATCACTCTTCCACATCAAAATATCCATAAATTGTTGTATTCACAAATCCCCTAAATTATGGCGGCAGTGGCAGTGGCACCTTGCCCATCATTATAACTGGCAAAGAATATGTATAGAGATTCTCAATAATAGCTCTTTAAGATTAAAATGACGTGTTATAATATGAAGACACTAACATAACACTAAGAACTAGTCCAATTGTTTGCGTAATTCGGTATAGTCTAGGCTCACTAATAGGCAGATCCTCCAGAAACGAATAGGACGGCTATTATACTTGTTAGAGAAGAATCCTCTGACAGATATAACACTACAATGGAATTCGTGATTCTGCAGCGGAATACAGAATACACACCCACGAGATGAATGCAGAAACTTTCCTTATCACACACACTGAATTCATTTTGATTGCTTCATACACACACGTATCATGGTATTTCCAAATACAGGAACTTTCAGTTATTATCCAGATTAAAAGTAAAACTCATTGCCGTTCAACAGAAACGCAATCGCAGGCATTTGAGAATTAGTGAATTAGCAACATGAATTAAAGCAAGTTTTGGGAACGGTACTGCATTTCTCGAAACACGGCACAACACATGCAATACATGGACAAGAAAAGTAAAAGCATGGAAAGAGAAGAGAAGATAATAATAATAATATGTGACAGAACGACGAACTTTGGAGTTGGAGAGACCGATATCGAACTTAATAAACGACGACGTGTAGTATAATGGGAGCTCCGATTGGAATATCTCCTGACCCAGAAGAAAGGGATTCGGAGGAGGAGCGCAGGGAAATTGGAATGAGAATGGGAATTGAATTTATAGCGCTCCACCTTCGTTTCCTTCCAGAGCCTTCTCAAACTATCACTTTCAAAGAGGATGGAAAATCATCCTCTAATTTTATAATCAAAAAATTATAATAATTTAATATATTTAAATTATTAAATTTGTAATAATAAATTATATTGTGATATATACAAATGTCATAATTTAATTTATTTTTATAAATCTAAGAACTTAAATACATTATTGATAAGGGCAGATTTTGTATCTCATTTCAAAACTGATTGTCACAGATTATATGTGCGCGCTGATTTGAAAGGGGCACGTTGCTAATATATTGGCCACGTGTCAGCACGAGATATATTCATTGAGTGACGTATGGACAATAATATTGTGACACCGTCCACACGACAGCGACACCGCCCTACGTTCGGTTATCGGACATGGTCGGTTCCTACTCATAATCATACCAACAAATGTTCTTCAATCTTACTTTTTTTTTAATCTGAATATATAATATTAATTATTAGAAGCAGTAATTCATCTCTATCAACATCTTAAACGCACGCAATAAAATATTCTATTAATTGTTCTCATGGTAATTGTTATTGGTAACATGTAATATAATTCTAAGCTTCCTATAAGAATAAGAGTTTTATACTAATTCTGTTAATTGTTAAATAAAAATGAAATATCATTCATACTTTAAAATATTAATGTACCAACTTTTTAATTGATACTATTTTAGAAAATGTAGTTATATAGATACTATCTATTCTTCTTATTATAGGACAAAATTTTCAATTTGATTTGGTGTTTAATCTGTTTTAAATATTAATTTTAAAAAATACTTTTTTTCAAATATATACTATATATAAATAAAAAAATAATATAATATTAAAAATAAGTCATTTTTTTAATAAAAACATACTCATTATATCCAACTGAATAGAGTTTTAAATACAAGGAAGTGGATAGAAAGCAAGAGTTGTTGCTAGAGTCTAGTAATAACATAGAAGTGTGACAGTAACTTAAGAAGATTTCTACCTTTTCGGTGAGGTTGGGTATTTCCTGAGCTATCCCATATGTTACATATCTACAATCACTTCCAATGTGAACATGGTGTAACCTTTTTTTTCTAATCCATTCTAAAGCAGCTAGCAGAGCAGTGGCTTCTTTTTCCATAACATTCGACATAAACGGTTTGTGGGCTAAGATGGTTTTTATATGTTGACCTCTGTTATCTTGTATGCATGTCTTGATACCGAAACTTTTACTTTTCGTGAAGAATGCAACGACATCGATATTGCATTTAAAAAATTTATGGGGTGAGGTTTTCATTTGGTGTTATTGCTAGGTTGTGTTTTCCAGATACTCTAAATTGTTATCTATCAGATCACGAAGCCAGGGATCTTTCCAAACGTGTATATGGTCTTTGTTTCTTATACGTCATTTGCGACCCTCCCATTTCCGGGATTATTGTCATGTAGCATTGGGGTTGGAAAGAACTCTCCAGTCTAGTTCATCAAGCATGGCAAGGTTGAAGTCAAGAATCTGGTAAAAACCCAAACTGCTTTTTTTTTTTTTTTTTTTTGAGTAAGATCTTATAATTAGTATAAAAAAAAAATATTCTAATTTGTTTATTATATGTACAGTTGATAAAATGCAACTGAAATGATAATCCTTTTTCATTTACTATATATAATAGATTACTCTTATTTTGTTCTCTCTTCCGTGGAAGAAAAGAAAATGACTTTGTTTGTTTGAACGAAAACAAAATAAAGAAAAACAAATTAAATGTAGATTGAAGAGATAATAATAAAAATATTTTTTTTTCACTTTCTCTTCGATGGAGAAAAAAATATGTACTGTTGTCTATATTTTTTTTTCCAGTCTTTTCCTTCTTTCTAATTTCTATTCTCTTTTTCAACGGTTCCAAATGAGAGATTTTGCTTCAAAATGTTATTTTCGGGAATGTATCGTCTGCGGTGAGGATAAAATATAAGAAGATAAAGTCTTTTCAACTTTATTATTTACTACTATTATACATTTTAAATATTTATTATATAAAATTAAAATTTATAATAAATTATATATATAAATATATATTATATTAAATATATATTATTTTAAAAAATTCATGTAAATAAATATTTTTGAATGTATAAATTATATTTTAGTATAATAAATAATTTATATTATAATTTATTATTAGTTTTATTTATTAATAATTAATTTTAAAATATTAAAATTTAATTTATAAATAATTATGATAAATAAAAATTACAAGAAATTAAAAAATTTCTAAAAATTATCTCATTTAAAAAATTCATAAAAATATTTTCATGCCATATAATTGTTCGTATTTAACATAAAAAAAATTATTTTATAAAATAAACAAATTATATTAATAAAATTTAATAAATAGTGTGGATTTCATGTTCACAGATAATTCGTTTTCTTTTTATTTTTTATTTTTTGTGACTTTTGAAAGGAATGCTTAATATGATTCACACAAATTTTTATGAAGAATATGTTAAGAAAAGTAAATTGTTAAACTTCCTAAGTACTAGTAATCTGCAATCACTTCTATACGAAGTATGGTCAATGGATGTCAATCATTCTTTTGCTTTCTGAGCATTCATTCAATTTCCAAGCTTATCTCTTAAGAGAAAATTATTAACAAGAGAAGATGCATGGAATTTTCCCATGTGAAATGAACGTCAAGATCATACGTGGCAATTAAATATATGCACTTAAGTTGTTGCATAATTATCTACTTCCATAACTTAACTATTAGTTTAAGCTTTACGAGGCCGAAAGAGGAAGTGCGTGTCTATCTACACATGCCAAGTAGAAAGGTTTCGTTTATCATGTTCAGACACGTGCCAAGTGGAAAGGTTTCGTTTATCATGTTCTCAATAATGCGTTTCGAAGATCGAAGATCAATCATTGCGAGATTTACTGAAAGCTGAGCATGACATTTGTAAACACAGATCTAATATAGTTTAAGGGTATTGATTGTCATATTGATAGGTTTTCACTAGCTAGAAATCACATTGAAAATATATTAAAAGTCATGATAAAATTAATTAATTAATTTCTAATAATGTTTAACTTTCTTATTTTTGTATTATCTTATTTAAATAGTCAGTTAACATTGGACATAATTTTACATGTTGCTAATTGGATCAGTATGAAAATTGCTCCGAATGAAAGACCAACTTATACACAACAATTTCCTTACGGAAGTGTGTGCACAGACGTGCAGATGGGTGCAATCAAAGTATAATATGTTAATTGATTCATTCATGTTATGGATATATCTGAACATACATTATCACACAAGAAATGCGTTGGTTTTGGTTTGCGTAAGAATTATTACGATTACGTCTAACTATTTATTATTATTTTTTTATATCAAGATTGTAACTTAAGAAAATCTAATAAATCTTCTAGTCTTGGTTGTACATTCCATCATACTGGTGCTCTTTGTCTCTTGGCTATATAACTACAAAAGATTATGTAAGCAGTACCATCGGGGTCTGATTATTCTAACCACACCTTTAAGTGTGACGAGCTACTAGATATTGAAAAATTATTGGACGGTTTGATGTGCAATCATGTCATTTTTTTATATCAGATTCAAAAATAAAATAATTATCAAGGATAATAAATAATTTGTCTATGCCAGATTCTTGATCCCTAAGGAGATTAAGTTATTCAAAAATAAAAGGAGATTAAGTTATTAAAAAATAAAATGTTACTAAATTCTTATCACACGACATATCACATATTATTTTATTAATTCTTACACATTTATCTGTTACAAGCCACTTCTCACAAGTTTATTAGCAAAATGTTACTAGTTTTGCATAGATAAGAAATAAAACTTCGCTTCTAAGTTCTAACACGTATTTTCACCAACTATTTTTAAAAGAAAATAAATAAAATTTCACCCATAATTTTAAAATTTGGATTCAAATCAATTAAGATATTAGATTAATGAACCAAAAGTTAAATTAGTGAATTACTAATTAAATTACATGATTCAATTTTAATTATTTTTTTTAAAATATTCATATTAAATATATTTTATACTTATAAATTTTAATAAATTTATTTCTTATTTTAAATTTTAATTTTTATCTTATTTAAAATTATTTTTATTTTTATTTTGTATAAAGAAATACATTAAAAAAATTACATATTAAATTATATATTAATATAAATTAAAAATATAAATAATATGTACATATATAATACTTGTAATTAATATCACAAAATAATATATGTAATATCTACATAAATATTATATTATTGAATATATAATTTAAAATTAATAATATATTATAAAAATTGTTTAAGTTGCATATATTACAAATAAATATATTAAAACAAGTAGTCATTGTTATATTTAATAAGAATTTTTCGTCTTTCATTAACAAGATTCAATTCTCATTGTTACTTTTGTGGTTCCTTAAAAAAAATTTGTAGTTGAACCAATTTGATCCACTGATTTACTAGTCGTATTGAAAAATTGATCGGTTCACTTCGATTTAAAACGGGTCAAATGCATAATCGATCCAACTTAAGGCTCAAATAAACTATACCACTGATTCTCAATTCAACTGGTTCGACCGATTAGTCCAATCCGGATTTTAAAACACTAGTTTCACCTATACACCAAGTAGAACACACGTAACAATAACTACTCTTAACTAGTATTTATTATTATTATTATTATTTTATTTTACATTTTTTGACAAATTGCTTAAAAATTACCTTATTCAAGAAGCCCCTTATGAGCATACCCCCTTATGGGTAGAACAAAAAACAATGCCCCATAAATTTCAATCGATCTCAAACTGTACTTTTGGATACCTCAACCGTGCAAGTCTCTTTTCTTTTTAGAGAGAGTAATATCTCTTCTGATGATGCTCATGTTGAACTTAAGTAAGGTGGATCGGCAGGGCTCATTGCCTAAGCGCACGTCTTGGTTCACATTTCTTCGCATCTTTTATCATGTGGCAGGGCTCATCTTTTATCATGTGGCAGGGCTCATTGCCTAAGCGCACGTCTTGGTTCACATTTCTTCGCACCTTTTATCATGTGACATCTAACGACTTATCACCCGAGTATCCTACACCAAGAGACACCATATCAAATGAATATCTCTTCCAATGATCACGACCTGCAAATCATTGAATCAATTGAGACATATCAAATCCAAAAATATTACATGGTGTGAATCAAATATGAAATTTAATGAAAATGCCTATTCAACTATCGGTTCACATCGCTCTAGTGCACAAGTTGAAAATGCAGATGCCATGAAACCACCACATAATTGGCGTTTTCAGCACAAAATACAAAGAAAGATCTCTTGAAAGATAAGACAACTAGGCAGATTTCAAAGCAACTTCAAGCTTAATGGGAATTGGGAAATGCATCTAGTTATAGAATGAAGCCCCTTCATCAAGCATGAATAACTTGAATTCCTGTAACTGCCTTCATCAAGGCATGCTGATTCAAAAACAACGGATCAAACTCACAATCACAGCAGCTCAGGTTAGTTGAAAGGAACACCAGCAAGGAAACATTTACTACATGATATTAGGTATAGTGAATATAAAGCAAAGCAATAAGATAAATTTGTTATATTAGATGTGAGAAATATTTGCTTACACTGACTGCGTGGTGGTTTGATCTGCAAAACACCTTAAAGTCTCAATGCATTTATGAACCTCAACATAACCTAGACTGGGTTGTTCCTTCCCTTCTCATTTCTTTTGGCTCCCTGGAGTTCATCTTCATCCTACACAAGTGGCAAAAGCATTTGATGGTATGTCATGCCTGCCAGATAACAGCATAAAAAATTCTATAGAGAAGCTACCTCAAACTTCCGATAACCATTGGTCAAACTCCACCTACACTGTATTTGGAAGGTCAAGAATGCTTTACCTGAAAGAAACAGTGCATGAGGAAAAAAGATAACACAAACATTCCTACATGAATTTTATCGACAACACAAATCTTGCCTACTCACCCTCCCCCACCCCAAAGAGAAACAAAAATAAAAGGAAATAAAGATAAGAACAACGACATACAAATAAATGTTCGGACCATAAGTAGCACTTCAAGACTGTAACTTCTGCAAAGAGTGTTGTGGTTTCATGGACCAAATAGTTATGGAACCTCGTTGAAAGCACGGTTATATCCCTTTTTATCCTTTCCTTGCAAGTTGATCGTTCAAGGATCACAACATACCCTCAAGTTGATAAGCACGAAAATGTGATTTAACTTGAACATAGTTAATCTATTCTCAAAATGGGTCACTCACTGGATGCGCTGAAAAGGAAGAGGATTTTCAGTCATTGGAGAACTCAAATCAGGAGCTATAGGCTGGAGCAATCCACTGTTGGACAATTCTTCCAAGGCTTTAATGTCTTGTTGCAAACGGGTCACATGTAGAATTGTATGATCCAGAACTAAAGGATCATCAGGAGGATTATGAAGAAGAGTCAGCAAAGCCTGTTTATAAACTTGAGCAGACAATGATGGTCTTGCAACCTGTCGGCTTCTGCAGAAAGTGGCCACCTTGATGACATGTTTACAGAGGTTTCCCAGCCTGGACCAGGAACAATCACAAAGTGAAAATTCTGAACCAGGATTCCAAACTGTATACATTAAACTTCTGTCAGTCTGAGACAAAACTTTGGAAAGATGGAGATTTTGCTCATCCAGTATGACATCCACATCTGGAATTTGAAGAGCATGATACCAAGCATTAGATGAGAAAGAATTGTTCCGTAGATTCTCAAAATACCCAGTCTCTAAACTGTATTGATCTAGCCAGTATAACGAGTGAAATTCAGTAGTTAAAGTGTGGATCAACCAATCAACTCTTAACCAGAAATTAGCATAATTCTCCTTCAAAAGAATGGATTTTAAATTTAGGTGATAGGATTCTATTGCAGCATGTGTCTCAGGAGTTGTCACGGGGAGTGATTTTATGGCATTAATCCACATATCTGCATGAGATAGCACAGCAAAATAATTATTCAAGAAACAGCATTAATGCTCAAAATAATCAAAGGATTGGATACTTCACTAATTAAAATGAAAATGATTAGTCAACTGTAAAAATGTTAGTGTGACTATCGCCCAACAAAGCTGAAGGCAATCATCTTCAGGTGAGACTGAGATGAAATGAATTGGATATAAAATGTGAATGAGTCATATCAAAACTGATTATGATGTGAGGCTGCTACAGCAAGATCATATATTTCTTCAATCAATAGAAAATGAATCATCACTTGAACAATACCTATACTAGCTAGCCAGTGGCTCTTGAAATAGTCCATGAAGGCACACTGGTCGACAAAAATTTGCATAAGCTCTTCAACTGCATCCATGGCATTCGGCCAACCTCTTGTACAGTACAGAATCCATCCCAAGTGCCTAAACATCTCCCTTTGCACCTCAATGTTGCAGCATTTTTTGAAAAGTTTTTTAATCCAAGAACGGCGAACATGCCAGGAACATAATAGGATGCGACACTGGAAAGCCTCTCTGCAATAAGCAAAATCTCACTCCATTTGCAACTAAGACAGGATCTCATAAAAAAACAAAAAAGTTAAATGAAACTAAAAAGAATCACACCAATCTCTTTACCTTATGATAGAATAGTCCAAAGATGGATCATCAACCACAATAGCATTGGGCCTCCATCTGGGATCCTTGGTTCGCAATTTTTCAGATAGCAATAGAATCCATTTATGAATAGCTTTACCAACAAAAGATGAAGTGATGATCCAAGCAACCGGAATTGCATTTTGAGATGCATTGAAAACAAGTAAAGAACATACGGGATACTGTCAGGGACAAGAAGCAAAAAAGTATAAGACATTCTAAAGTCCTGCAACATTGTTATAAATGATTTTTCATCATAAATGATTCTTCATGATTATGTCGATGAAATTGGTTAATTACAAATGATTTAGACGGCTCCTAGATGTACAACATATGTTTCATGTTAACATGTTTTTTTTTTCCATCAAAATTCATTGTAAATAAGCTAAAAGTTATACCCTTTGGCCAGTGATGACTTCATACATAACTTAATAATAAAATGTAAATAAATAGTTTCCTAGCTTGAAAAGGTTAATGCAAAAACCATATGCATTACCTTAATCTTCTTCAAGCCAAAACTCGAATGAAAAGAAAGGAAACTATTATTTCCATAACGAAGCATTTGTTGCAGCTGCCAATCTGTCTGTATACCCAAGACAAATGGTTCTGAACCTGAGTTATCTTGGAAATAAAAAACATGCTTCTGATGGCGCTGAATCCATATCTTTACACTGTATTCATCATTTTCATGTAGCTCATGAGAAGAATTTCGAATAGTCCTTTCCATGTTACGCACATCATTTCGAGTGAGGAAATCATCACGGTTTTGGGGCCCACCTTGCTTCTGCATCCCCTCTGCATGGTGTTGTATTATCTTGTCCAAAGATATTCCAACATAAAGCATATACATCACTTTCTGGCGTAACTCATCCGAAATTCGTGGAGCATACATAGCTCTTGTCCCTACTGCATCCCTGTCAAGTAACCCATGACATGGCGCCCCTGATTTATCCACGTGCTTTCTTTGGTTATATATGATTAGCGCAATGAGGGGCCGGGTGTACAGTCTCTTAACAGTGAAATGGCAAAGGCACCCTCTCATCATATGACGCCGACCTGGCCTACTCCCCTTCCCTGAAGCAGGTTTGGTGCTCGTGCCATCCCCTACACCCGAGTCACTCTCTCGGTAGTCTTCAGGACCATAAGAACACCAGTATCTAAATATCAACGCATAATTCCATATTGCTAATTAGCCAAAGCTTTTCAGATTTCAAGTCAACTGAAGTTTAAATCACACAAATTATAACACAAAAAGAGCCTGTTAATTCAAGGGGGAAAATGAATAAATAGTCTATACACCAAATTATTCAATCACAAATTGTCATGTACCATAACCATATTGACTTTTACAATAACACCTTGAAAGTCATATGAGTCATGATTTCTGATTGGTTGACTCCTAAGTTGCATAAAAATTAAACTCTAAAAAATAGTGACTAAATTTTCATATTTTGCGAGTTTGAATTGAAAAAAAAAAAACTGATCTTACAGTGTGTATTCGAGATAACCATCAACCCTTGGTTTGGCAATGCTGCCTACAGGTCTCTTCCTTCTCGATTCTACCCGGAAACTCGCAGGACATTCGGGGTTGGATGATTCACCTTTCACAAAATCATCAACTCTGGCAAAAGGAATGAGGGCAATATCATCACCACCTTGGCGACCACCTTCCAATTTAACCCAATTTATGTGAGCAGCAGAAAACTCGGGACAAACAGGGTCTTGCACTGGAAGGTTCAGAATGTCCTCCATTCTCGGCATCTACAATTCCCAAATTAAAATTAACATAACACCCATTTTCAATTCATAAACATAGCACTTTGGTACCTAATATGACTGTTCTTTGCTCACGTTTTTACCATCCACATTCTCAAAAATTAAAGTGTGTGAAGTCGTGTAACACTAACGGTAGAAAATCTTGATGGGGGAATTTAGTTTAATTTACCTTGTCACATTCGCCGCGGCAAAAGGGATACACTGTTTTGGGATAAACGAGAAGTAGAAATGCAGAGAGAGTGGAAAATGGAATTCTAGATGAGAGTGTCACGTAGGACCAAGCACAAACGAAATAGAGTCACCGCCATGGGCTCTCTTCTTCTGGTTTTGATATGGGCTTGCTAAACCCATTTTCACGGCCCCACAAGATATAAGGCCTCAGTTTGTCAGTAAAACCAACACGAAAATAAACAATACCACGGAGCATTCAAGAAACATAGTGGTTCAACTAATTGCAAAAGATATTTTGTGATTCGATGAATTATTTTTAATAAATAATAAAATTTATAAAATAGTGAATGATTATTAAAAATATAGATAGTTATGAAGTTAAATTTATAAAAATAAAAAAATTAAAAAAAAATCCTAATTTATAAAAAAAAATTATAAAGATAAAATTGTTAAAAAAAATGTGAACACAAAATGAGATAATTTCATTTATTAATAATATAAATTTTGGACAAAATATACTGTAGTCACTTTATATAAATCATAGAATTTTAAATTTTTATTGCACCAACCATAACAAATATTTTTATTTATTTATTTATTTATATATTTTCTTTATAATCTCCTCTCAACTTATACACAAACACTTAGGAGACACGCTTCTTTTTCATCAATGTATTTTAATCAAGTTCATATATATTTATATAAGTGTAAATGTGTTTTAAAAAGGGCTGTGTATTCTTTGCAATAGAGAAGGGATGCCAATTATTAATCATGATGAGCATGTTAACGGTAGCAAGAATCCAAGTGATAATTTGGACATCCTTTATTTGCCAAGCAGCAATGACATCAACGATGTGGATGGGTACAGTGAAGGTACCATCCACAAGATCCCATAGGCTTTTTACCTTTGATGAACATCTTGAATCAATATTCTCAAGCAATATAGTTTTTGTCAATGAAGTGGATGCAAAAATTACTCGTTACCATGATCGAACTCACACGAACAAGGATAAAGTCAACAATATGAAACCATGAACAGGAGGAGTCAACAATGAAAACTCGAACCAAAATGGTACACAATTAACTCTATAAACAATAAACCCAAACTAGAAACCAAGTTGAGAGACAAATTTTTTATAAAAAAAATGTGATGGGAGGATATCTCAAGAGAGACTCATGATACCATGCCAAATTTTTTTTACTTATCACCTATTCTCGATATTTTTTTCTGTAAATATTATAAAATGATTTACTATCCTCAATTACTAATTAAGGGTGATTCATAAATTCAATTATTTAGAAAGAATAATAACAACCAATCGATATTATTTCTAATATTCAACCCATATAATAGAAAATTGAATACCAAATATTCTTTCTTTAACATCTACAATATTAAAGGTATGTTTGAAAAAATTGTAAAAATTACATTATTTTGATAACTGATTATATGCATAATTGATTATTATTATAATTAAAATAAAATTTTATTTGAATAAAATTACTGAAAATTGATTCTAACATACTTAATTTTGTTTAAATAAAAATTATATAATAAAACAACTTTTAAAAAATAATTATTAAAAGTAATCATAAATTTTAAAATCTTCAGTTTCATAAAATCAATTTATTTTAAAAACATATTTATAAATTAAAATTTTCGTGTCAAACACAGTGAAAAATGATAACTTTTAAAAGTATAGATAAAATACGAAAAAAATATAAGTGTCAACTCATGCGAAAGAAAACATATTCTTTAGAAATAGTACTAATTCACTTTGCAAGTTATGAATTATGTTAGCTGGTGGGTACCAGCAAAGTGGTGATGCCCGAAATAGATGTGACATCTAGGTCAACGAGGAACATAATTATTCAATTAATTAATGATGGATGTAATTTACATGGTCGTGACATGAGATGAGATGCTCGCACAGTGGAAATAAGCAATATTCTGTGCTTTGATTGGATATTAATGGTATTGCGTATAAACAATTGATGCAAGTAATGCAGATGATCGTCACACAATCATAAGTGGTTGGGTTAGTTGGTGACATGAAGTGGCAAGAAATGTGATCAAAAGAGGAAAAATAATAGGATATAATAAGTGATAAGTTTATAAATTATTGATAGGAATTTGATAAGAGAATTATAATTTAATATAAATGTATTTTTGTTTAAAATATTGCAATAAACACATTGGCTTATTATTAAAAAAAAAAATATATATATATATAATATAA